GAATGACTGAAGCTTCCAAACTAGTCTTAAGTGCTTCCTACAAAGTATAAACAAAATAAAAAAGATTAACCAAAGCTAATAACAGACTGTATTGAAAGCAAACATCAAAATAAACCCAAAACATGAAGTTAATTTGAATTGTACTACCATGTGAGATAAAATGTTGCAAGGATAATGAATAGCTAAACATGAGGAATTCCATAAATGCATTAAAAGATGCTGGCTCTGAGAAATGGGTTTCAAAAAATCATTACATTTTAAGGATGCATGATTGAACATCACCTAGAAACAAAAATACAATAAATCTACGTTAAACCCAATTAAGGACCAGCAAGCTAAAATAGCTAGCAAACTAAAGCCTATAGAAAATTATAGAATTCTAGAATCCATAAATTTTTCAACATAAGTCTGTCATATTTTCATGAAGAACATACATGTGTCAAATTGTCCAAGTCTTTTCATTCATCAATTCAATGTCCTTGGACAATTAATAAGCTTGCAAGCCACCATTTACTTCTATATTTGCACATACAGCACATGATAAAACACAGGAAGTGCAGGCACACAAAAGATCATACTCAACATGATAAAAGAAAAGAAAAAGGAAAAAGAATGCAAAAAGTGCATTAAATGATTAAAAGATATTGTTGATGTTGACTACAAACTGCTTACCTGAAGAGCTTGCTTGCCAGAGGTTTGAAATTGTGCCTGTATCTGCCTAGCCACAGTAGCTTCAAGTTTTGTACTAACTGATTTTTCTAGTTGATTCAATGCCTTGTCTCCCACTCCCTTCTGCAGAATTCATGGCATAGCCTCAGTCAGACATATTCAAGCAAAAATTGTCACTTAGCAGTGAGGAAAAAATTGAAGTACAACATCAGGGGGGGAGGGGCACTAAATGAACTACAATTGGCACACAAAGATTTTTGATAACATTTTTGGTTTACCATGTTACATGTCATCCAAATACTTCATAAAGTAGTCTCCGAAAAGTTGAAAAATGAAAAAGGGAAAAAAAATTAAGCTAACCTACCAGCAAACACATTTTTACTTTATTTGAAAGTAGCACTTTCAAATGTTGAAAATTAATACTCTTGAATTTGGGCTGGGCTTAACTCATGAGGATAGCCCGGGTCTTTATGGAGAGAAGGGGAATACAAATAGATGAACTACAATTGGCACACAAAGATTTCTGATAACAGTTTGGTTTACCATATCTCATGTCATCCAATAAAGTAGTCTCCGAAAAGTTGTAAATTGAAAAAGAAAAAACAAATTAAGCTAAAATACCAACACATTTTTTCTTTATTTGAAAGTAGCACTTTCAAATGTTGAAATTAATACTCTTGAATTTGGGCTGGGCTTAACTCATGAGTATAGCCCACGTTTTTATAGGCTCTAGTTTAGTTAATGGGATCTAAAAACACACCTCTCACCTAGGATTGGAGACTAGAGCATACAGATTGTAGGATATTTTTTTTATTTTTTTTTATATTGCACTAGTAAAGTTGCGTGGGAAGGTAGATTGTACTTGAAAATCTGCAGGCCAGGTATATATATATTGAGCTGGGAAAGCCACGGGGTTAGCTGGATAGTTGACAATGTCATATCTATGATAGACTCTACTACCATCTTGAATTTGGGCTGGGCCTAACTTAACCCCAAAAGTTAGCTCATGAATGAGAATTGTCCAAACTTTATAAGTGATACTTTAAACAAATCTATAGTCGATGTGGGATTTTGACAAATACAAACCTGGAACGATTCTGTAATAGCTGATGATATGGTTTTCTCTATAACTTGACTAATTGAACGGGTAATGGTTGTTCCAATTGAAGATATTTCCTTCTTAATGATTTTCTCCAATATAGATACCAAGTCCTTGTTTACATAATTGGAGATCAAGTTCGTTATTTGTTGTGTACGGTCTCGCTCTAACTTCTCTTGCTTTGCATTTTCTTCTTGCAATCGAGCCCACAAAGCATCAGTATGAGCCTTGACAACTTTCTCCATGTTTCGACCCAAGGATCCTTCTAATCTTTTGCCTTCCTTAGTAACTGGGACAGACACCATCGCATTCATCTGCTTTTGCATTTCTTTATGCATGCTTAACATCTGTAAAATAGGAAAATAAGGAGATTAACAAACAAAAACAAAATCTAAAAATAGCTCATTGGGTGACATGAGTGTATAAGAGAGGCAAAACCATATTAAAGACAAAGACATGAAAAAGTCCCTGCCTAGGAAAGATATAGTTTCTACAAGTGTTATTTTTTGATGATGCAAGCAGGAGTGGCATCATTACAAGACCCAGCAGTTAAAAAATAAAAGCAACTTCATGCTACTATTATATTATATCATGAAATCATAAAATCATGGAGCTGATAATGAATGTATTGCTATTTTCCAATCAATCTTTTGAAATAACTGGAATGGAATAAAACATAATGAGATACATAAGAAGGAAATGGGTGCAATTGATCAGGCTTCACTACAGGAAATATATTCCGCTAATCCATTTTCAGGTTGCATATGCCAAACATTGTGTCTTCATCCCTACACATCGTATCTAAACTATATGCCTAACGAAACTTCCACAAAGTTTGACAGAGAAAATCTTCTGTCCCAATTTGATCTAAAGATAGTTAATAAAAATCCATTTTGACTACAAGGTTACCATAGGAGCAGACTATCAATCTAGAAAATAGTTAACTATGCTCTACTAGTGGCATGCTGAATACATATTACACTACACATAACACTACAACAATTTAGTCAGAAAGAACAACACTACCAAAAAACAAGGATAATAAGTATAAGCAAAGCATGCACCATGTTAAGTGAAGCCAGTAAAAATAAAAATAAAGTTCAAATGCAAATTAATAACCTGGCCCATCATCTCCTGCATAGCAGATAACTGTGGTAAAGCAGCCTCCATGGATGACCCTCCTGAATTGACACCTTGATCATTTGATGAATCTGTCGAGTTAAAAGGACTGGGAGAAGGGGAAGATGCACCAGACACATGAGAATTTTTCCCTTTTTGTCTTTTTCCTTTCCCAGAAGGTGCAGGAGATTGCACAGCAGCCGCCACAGTTTCTGATTCACTGATGTTTGCAGGTACATCCTTACTCGTGTCTTGAACTTCTTCCTCAACAGAGTTACAACTTTGATCAGGTGCATCAGTGGTCTTAATAGTATCAGCTTGACGAGCTCCCTCAATGTTATAAGTCTCTCTAGCCATCTGAATGCCTAGATCAGAGGCCTGAGAATAGAATAGCTTCTCCTTCTTCTCAGCAACATTGGTGTGCGAGTCTCTGTCTCTTTCATACTCGCTATTTTCTTGATTAGAACCTGTCTCACCTACAACTTTAACCTCAACTTCAAAGTTTTCTACATTGCTATGGGAAGCCACATCTTGAGAGTTCATACCTTGAGAAATATGGGAATTATCAGAAGATAAAGAAGTTTTCGAGAAGATCTCAGATGGAGTTACCAAATGGGTTGGGTGTTTATATGTTGGAGGGGCATTAGAAACAACAGAAACATCATTTTGAACAACTTTATCATCCTTCCGCAAATTGTCACCTGATGCAGACACATCTGCCATATCTTTTTCAGATTCCATTCTTCGTTCAGCCGAAGAATTAAGGTTTGTCTGCTCACTGTTGTGATCAGCACTGGTTGAACTAGTCTCTAAATTATTTGATGAATTTTTGAAACCAGATAACTTCTGGGACAATCTTGGACTCTGGGGAAGTGGAGGTGGAGCAGTAGGGGTATGTTCAAAACCATTATGAGAAGGTAAATCATTTGACTTGGTCTCTGTATCTGATATAGAAGCTTCAGGTAGACCAGAAATAGCTGATGAAACAGTAAGGCTCACAACAGGAGCACTTTCAGAACTGCTAGAATGAACTTGTGGCATATTTCCAGTTTCCAGATTCGTAGATCCATCCAAAGCATCAAAGGCACGAGATAGATTGGATTCTGTTTTCTCAAGTTCAACATTGTCCAGGGGTGGAGGCAAACATTGTGACAAATTGAGTCCGTACTGTTGAATAGCTTGTGTTTGGACACAATATATTTGTACAATATGCTCTCCATCTGGTAAACTATCACTAGTTCCAGTAAGACTTAATATAGGCATTGTGACTGTGAACTCAGAAATGTAATCCATGCGAGTTGCAGTTGGATTGGATCCATACTCTAAGTGCACAGCATATATTGTATTTTTCTTGGCATTTGCAAGCAGAAACAAACCAGCACGGGGCAATGCTACAACTTGATTAAAGAATGCATCCTCAGGGTTGGCTTCAGACGAACTTCTTATATCTAAAGTCTGAATACAATTCCATGACTCAGAATCACTAGGCAATAGCCAGCCTTCTTCATTATCAGAGACCCATATCTTCACTTCCTGATTTAGTGGTCCCTGCAGTACGGGAAATAAATATAAAAGGAAATTAGCTTTGAAAGATGGAAGGGGAATCTAGACATCACTTTGAGCAGACATGACTAACAGCCAAGCTGCATAACAAAAACTTCCAAAAGCACCCCCAATTGACGCATAAAAATACACCGCATTCCCAACAATGGGAAAGACAAGGAGCATATACCGCTGTGATAAGAACAATGTGCTCAGGGCGGTGAGGAGCAGTCAAGAACGTCGCAGAATTGACAGGTTTACCATCATGTGGTCTTATAACAGCAAGTGGTGCAGCCTTACGTTCTTCCCATATCTTCACCTGTTGACAAAAACAAGTTACTTAGAAATGCAAAATAGGAATGATTGTGAATCTTTCTTTCATATTAACAACTCCAAGATATGATATAATATAATGACTGCACCACCCTATTGAAAATTCTGGATTCTCAGACTATATAATTTTTTCCAGTTTCCACTAGTGTAAAATTGGATGAATGAAACAAATAAAGGAAGCAAGGCAAGGAGAGAGAGCCAAATGCAGACCGTGCCATCAGCTGATGCAGAAGCTAATCGACTCTTCATCCATTGGCACATTGACAACTCAGTGACATTGCCATCGTGCTTACCAACAAGATGCACCCCATCAATCAACTTATCAATGGAACATTTGAGAGGCTCCTCTGCAGAAAAAGTTTCACCTTTTCCGGCTTTCATGCTGTCAATTTTGAGGATACGGTTTCCAATAGCAACCATTAAAATCTCCTGTAAGCAAATTCTAACTGATAAGCTAAAATTTTAAAGGAGTTAACTTGAATTGGAAGATAATAAACTTAAAACCAAATTTATAAAGTCACTCTTACTTGTTTGTGTGGGTGCCAGCATACTCTTGGATGAACTGACTCACTCTCTCCTAATATTTGAATTGCTAGGATAACTTTTCCAGTAATTTGAGGCTTGTCATCCTCATCAGGGCCCTCATTGATTTTCCATATAAATATTCTCCCATCAGTGCTTGCACTGTGAACAGTCACAAGCATATCCAAGGGGAAAATAATTAATAAACATAATATTGAGAGAAAAAAATGACAAACAAGAAACAGAAAAGGGATATTTACCTGGCCAACAGGTGAAGATCCTCAGCGAAGAAAGCCATGTCTGTTACTCTCTACATAAAAAGGAGATATGCACAAATTGAAAAGAGGTACAAATTGAAAATGGAATAGAAGGGAAAAATTAGCATCTCAAATGCATGTAACAACATCAAATTCACTTTAACTTTTAAGAGGTAGAGCACGCTTTGCACGTAGAAAGTTGCAAAGAATACGGTCAACCTGGGAGAACCGTTACCAAGAATACCCATATGGTTGTCAAAGAAAAGAAGACATAGGTTACATAAATTGCTCTAAATATCAATAATTACGTAATCCAAACCAATTAAAAGAAATGACTATGTCAAACACAAAACTCCAAAAATATATTTCTCGGACATCAAGAAAAGCTCGTGCCAGCACGTGTTTATACAATATATTGATTTTCTCGCAAGCAACCATCTAAACTCAGCATGATAAACTCAAACCAAGACAATGCAACACATTAAATACAAAAAAAAAAAAAGTACAAACTAAAAATCTTTCACATTTCTTACTTCTTAGGTGCAAATTCCAAACAATATCATGTTTTTTGTCTCATGGCAATAGACAACAAAGGCAGTTTACATGCAGGCATGATTAGCGCAAAAGGAATACATTTTCAACGAACAAAACCTAAGTTCATATTAACCCTTCTGAACTGTCTAAGGCTCAAAGCACTAAAACACATCAAGCTGATACAATGTTAACAAAAAATGTCAAATGGAAAAGGCATGAGCAACCCTCAACCATAGAGCCAATGCATCAAACTCCTAGCACCAAGAAGACACATTGACATTGGACTAAACAAACAGTACTTATGCAGAAAAAGAAAAGATTAAACACCATAACTCTACACATCAATCATTACAGAACCACGAAAACTAATATCGCATTGGCATTAAGACCATAAGCAACTGCAATGCAATGCAACACAACCCACCTGAGTGTGACCACGAAGCAAGTATCTCAATGCAGTGTTGATATTAAGGACCCGGATGGCCCCAAGTTTGAGTCCATAGCAAATGTAAGACTTATTCACTGCGATTTGGCGGCCGAGCACGAGGCCAGGATCAGAGGCATACTTGGTGATTGGAGTGACCTCAAGCTGAGGCTGCACCTCTCCAGGCATCCTAACATCAATGTCATACACAACATGCTCTCCAATCAAGTGCCTCCCCTTAGGAAGCTTGGTGCTGAGCATCCTGGCTGGTGTGGACTGAGCACTAGCCAGAGTCACAGGAGACCCTGAGGGCTGTGTGGAGGGCAACCCTGCAGGGTTTGGAAAATCAGAAGCCACATGTGATGGAGATGGTGATGGTGATGAGGTGGAGGGAGATGTGTACACAACTGGTGGCTCCTGATTGGAGGGAGGGTTTTGGGTGCCCAACAAGGCCATGAGGGGGTGTGGTGAGGATGGAGAAGGGGGTTGGAAAATAGGGGGTCTTTGAGGGGCATGCATTTGGGGAAGGTGGTGGAGGATAAGAGGGTGTTCTTGGTGTTGTTGTTGATGGTGGTGAAGCTGTGGATAGGGGAGAAAGTGAGGGTGGTGATAAGGGTATGTGCCAGTTGGTGGAGGGTATGAGGAAGAGGGGGTGGGGTAGGAAGAAGGAGGGGGTGTGGAAGGAGAAGGAGCAGGGAATGATGGGGAAGTGTTCAAATTTGAAGAATTAGGGATAGAGGGTGAGGGTGATGATGCTGAAGGTGATGTTGTTGGTGCCTTGAAAAGCTTATTGAAATCAAAATGGTTTTGTTGTTGTTGTTGTGGTTGTGGCTGCTGATTTGGATTCCCAGATGAAGCCATAAACTTTGACCAAAAATTGAGGCAAAAAATCCAAACTTGTGAATGAACAAAGAATCAGATGGGATCTGGGGTGGTGCTGATTGTGAGATCTGAGATTGATTTCGGTGCCACCTCTTTCTCTCTTCCTTCCACTGCTACTTGGTACTTTGTTCTGTGTGTGGTTTCCTCGTACCAGCTTAGTAATCCCAGAAAAATAAATTCAAAAAAATAAAATAAAATGGTGGTTTTATAACACAGACACACACCTCTTTCTTTGTTGTTCTCCTATGTTTCTGTTTTCTTCTTTCTTCTTTCTTCTTTCTTCTTGTCTTGGTCTCCTCTTCTCCTCTGGTGTGACCAGAATTGAACGAGTGCTAGAAGGAATTGGTGAGAAGAGAAGGTTTATTCAATAATTTGCGTTTTTGCATCCTCCAATTTGGCAAATAGCTACCAAAAGATGGGGATTTTGGAACAATGGCAATGCCAAGCATCATAGCACTACAAAGATGGTAGAAAATGGTGATGATAGGGAGACAAATTTAATAATAATATTCATTTTTTATCTAGAATTTATCTTTTGAATTGTATATTCTGTATAAAATCAATAATGATACTATACTATTATTTTTAGCAATTATGATATTGATATACTACATTTTTTTCATAGGTTTTTAACTTTTTAAGCATGTAATTATTTTTTAATGAATACTGTGTTTTTTATTCTGTCTTTTATCACACATAAAAATATGATAAATTTATTAATTTTTATACTGATTACATTTAAATGTATAGTAAAAATATTTTTAATTAATTAATTTATAATAAAAAGAATTATAGAATTATATACCTATTAAACTCAATAATTTTACCTAACGTTTAGAATTATTTTGAGTACAAAGTGTTTCTAATAATTTTAAATATGAGTTTCTACTATTAATATAAAAAGTTTTACACTCTTTTTTACATTACGGATATTGGCTCACATTTATCCAACTTTTTCTTTTAAGATCGAAGATTTTTTTTATTAGAAATAATCATGATGGAGGAGATAGAATTATTATGAAGAGTAGAATTCTTTTTTTCGAAAATTTTGTGTAAAGCACATTTTGATAACCGGATTGTATCTTATAAATATATTATTTTCTTTTTCATTTAGTAGAGATACTCATAATCTAAACAAAATTAATATATTATTTTATTGCACCGTACTATCTCCTAATATTATGCATACACCGAAAAAAAAATCTCTTAATATTATGCATATTTTATCCTATAGGATAGAGATGTATACTTGTTAATTTACTTTTGGTTTTGGCAATGCATTCCTTTACTGTTCAATTAGCGCATGAAATGATTTAATCTTATAAAAAAAAATATAAATGCTTACATTGCCCTTGGTGTCAAGGGATGTCATTTTTTTTCCCTTGTACATTAGGTTGCTGAATAAGAATGTCTCATATGATACATTATATTATAATTGTAACCGTATAAGTTAAATACTAAGCCCTAACTTTTGGCAAACTCCATGTCATAAAAGACAAAACTCTAAATAGAAAATTCATCACTAATTTTTGTCCTTCTAATTTGAAATGTGTAGACCCGTATTGAGATTAATCTTGTTAGTTAAAATGTTTTTATTTTAATAAAATCTTTAGAATTTGCAAGATTTGTACATCCTCATTGAGTCTAATATAGCGACAAGAAATTGGAGGATCATTAGCCATGTGCAATTGTGCATCAAGTTATAAAAAAGTGGGGAAAAGTTTAACAAATGAAAAATGATATAATTGTGTTTTCTTAATTTGTATTTATAGTATGATTCAAATGGAAAATTTCCCATCCTCCCACAAGTTTCATAAAACAATGTAATTTCCTTTAAATGCTGTATTGTGAGGGGAAATTGATTGGAAGTTTTAGTTTTTGGAAATTGATTGGTACATGCTACAAAACTCCTTTGATCATCAAGGACTTAGAACTAGCTGTTTATATGGTTATTTCTTAGGGTAGAGAAAATGGATTCACAATTTCATTGAAAGATACAAATAAAAGGCTAGTAGTTCAAGTCTTTTTAAGTATATGAGATATGTAACATTTTCAACTATGTGAATAGAGAAGTTGTTAAAAAAAAAAAACTATGTGAATAAAGAAAAATACATGAATAGTAGAATTGTCTTTTGAAACATTAATCCACATCAAGTATAAAACAAAAAGAGAGGAAAAAAAAAGATTATATCATAATTAAAATTTCATTTGATTGGAAAGATATACTGAAAATAGGATAAAAACAATAAAGAAAAGAGAAATAAGTGAGTGAAAATAAATAATAAATAAATAAAAATTGATATATTTGGTTTGAAAGAAATAAGTGATAAATAAATAAAGAATAATATTATGAAATTGTTTGATTTGAATGAAAAAGAAAAAACTAAATTATAATATGATTGAATTTACTATTTTATTTTTTAAAACTGTATAATAATGTTCTTGATAATAATTTTATTTAGAATAATATATAATAATTAATAAAATTACATTTTAATAATAATCAATATTATGACATAATATTTAATAATGATTATTTACCAAATCAAATATAAAAGATGAAATTAACACAAAAATATAATTTAACATGGCTTTGTTTAAAACTAATTTTAAAAAAATAATAATAACCTATTATGACATTCTCATAATCGATTACATTGGCGATTTTAATTAATTAAAAAAGATTTGCAATCAATTACAACAATTTGTAATAAACATTAACTAGACACAATCACAATCAATAAATTAAATGTTATCTTCAATCAAATATGATCTCTCAAAACACACAAATCTGCCAATGAATCGCAACTTCAACCTGCAGAACGTTTAAATGAGTGAAACAATGACAATTTCAAAAAAAAAAAAAAAAGTATTCTTCAAACGTTACACAACAAGAAATTCTCGTTTATTTTATCTCCATTGTCTCATGCCAGAAAATAATATCAAAGTGAGACTTACTGTTTTTAATTTATTTATTTCCTTATTTTATGTCAACCAAATAAATAAACTTATTTCTACTCTCTTGTTGTTATTTCACATCAACCAATCCTAGTGTAACCCTACTCATGAGTTCTTGCATTGAAAAAAAGAAACCTAGGTCTCTCAAGTCTCAACCTCATCATGTAGTTAAAATTTATGGATCAAACATTGTGATGGGCCTTTCACAAACCGACTTATCATAGGTTGTCTTTGTCATAAAGTTTCATGCACTAAGGATTGACGGCTCTACCTTAGGGCATTATCAATCATGACCCACATATGTGAATGGATGAATCATTTCATTAAGAAAATAAAAAATCATATAAACCCCAAAAGGAAGGAATCTAAGAATTATGGCAATCCGAATGGGAGATCCTGTTGCCTCCCTTCCCTGGTTCCCTAATCCTACATATCTACCCTCCAATAGTAGCAATGCATTCATTCCAACTAATTATTGAAACTTCCATTGTTTTTTTTAAAAAGAAAATGTGACTATGCATTAATTCAGTAGTTTCTCTAATTATTTGAGCTATAGAAATAATACTGAATATAATTTCCCTTTTTTGAATTTGGAGGATGACAATTGACCAACCACTATACACTAGTACCAAGAGGAGGAGAGGGGATAGAAAAAAGGAATCCATATTTTAAGTTCTTCACCATTGTAAAAAAAATAAAAATAAAAATTACAACTGAGTTAATGGGTGACTATGTTGAAAATTTATTTCTTCACTTTTATCCTATTCTTGTATATGTTTCTCTACCTTTTAAGGTACTATATTTTGCTCGTAAATTTTTTTCCGAAGATGTCAATTACAATGAGGCATTTAAATCATAAGCACACCTTCTAAAGTTTTAAAACAAAAAAAAAATGTTTAATTACTCGGAAATAAATAATTAAGACGAAAAAAATGTTCATGATCAATCAATCTTTCATATTTATCAACCGGGAATGTCTAACTTATCTCAAATAAAAATAAGGTTCCTTAAAAAATAATATTTATTAATATCACAAGAATGTAAAACTAAGAGAAAACGAAAAAGAAGAGAAAGCAACAATGTACTGCACTTGCTATTATTCAGAAAGATAAGCTGATATATACAAGGAAAAATTGAAAAAGAAATAACAGAAAGGAAAGAGAAAATAACAGATAAAGATGAAACAGAAACGTAACAAAAATTATTGTTGCTAACGGAAATTATTGTTGAGACCCCCCTCAAGCTGGGAATGGATGTTTAACATGCCCAGCTTGGTATGAAAACTTTGAAACAAAGTGGGAGAAAGCGCCTTAGTGAAAATGTCCGCAAGTTGGAGAGATGAAGGTACCGGAAGAAGCTTTATCAAACCGGAGTTGACCTTTTCACAAACAATATGACAATCAATCTCTATATGTTTAGTACGTTCATGGAAAACTTGATTTGTTGCTATTTGAAGAGCTGATTGATTGTCACAATAAAGGAGAGCTGGACGAGTGAAGCAGACTCTAAAATCTTGAAGAAGAAAAGTGAGCCATTGAAGCTCACAAGTCGTGGAAGCCAAGGCACGGTATTCAGCCTCAGAAGAGCTACGAGAGACAGTGGGTTGCTTCTTGGAACGCCAAGATATGAGAGAATCACCAAGATAAATAGAAAAACCGGTAATGGAGCGTCGAGAATCATGATAGCCAGCCCAATCGGAGTCACTAAAAGCTTTGAGTTGAGATGAACTATTGGCAGAGAAGAAAATCCCAAAACCCGGTTCTTGCTTCAAGTAGCGAAGTATACGAAAAGCAGCTTGAGAATGGGACGTGGTAGGAGAAGAAACAAATTGACTAAGATGGTGAACAACATAAGTAATATCAGGGCGAGTAGTAGTAAGATATATGAGTCTTCCAATAAGTCTTCTATAAGCTGATGGATCATGAAGAGGAGTGCCGGTAGTGGATGAAAGACGAGTGCAATAATCCATTGGTGTCGAAACTGGGCGAGAAGCAAGCATACCACAATCAGATAAAATATCTAGCACATATTTCCTCTGAGAGATATGTATGCCAGACTTGTTTCGAGCTATTTCAAAGCCCAAGAAATATTTGAGATCACCTAAATCCTTGATTTTGAATGTGTCATTAAGAAGCTTAGTGATACGTTGGATTTCAAGGAGATTGTTTCCTGCAAGAACAATGTCATCTACATAGACAAGGAGAGCAGTAATCATTGAGTCAGAGAACTTGAGAAACAAAGAATGATCAGACGAGCATTGATGGTAACCATGCTGGAGAAGAAAGGAGGAGAGTCGAGCAAACCATTGTCGACTAGCCTGTTTCAAGCCATAGATGGAACTTGCAACTTGCAAACCTGGTTGGGATGAGTTGGAGACAACCCAGGAGGTAATTTCATGTAGACTTCTTCATGTAATTCACCATGGAGAAAAGCATTATTGACGTTTAATTGTTTAAGATGCCAGTTGTGAATGGCAGCAAGAGCAAGGAGAAGACGAACAGTGGTGAGTTTAGCAACCGGAGAAAAAGTATCAAGGTAATCCAAACCTTCGAGTTGGGTATAACCTTTGTAGCGTCCGATAGTTCCATCAGCATTGTATTTAACTTTGTAAATCCATCGACAACCAATAGCCTTTTTGTGAGGTGGAAGAGTGGTGAGAGTCCAAGTATGATTCGCTTGAAGGGCATCTATTTCAGCTTTCATGGCTTTAAGCCAACAATCACTTTTTGCGGCCTCAACATAAGAATTGGGTTAAATGATGGTAGATATAGAAGAAATGAAATGATGAAATGAAGGTGAGAGGCGATCATAACAAAGATAATTTTCAATTGGATAGCGAATACCTGGATGGAGATTGGTTGAAGTAGATGTGAGAGTGCGATGAAAATCTTGCAGGTATGAAGGTGGTTGTCTTTGACGGGTGGAACGACGAAGTGTGGTTGAGGTAGGAGGAAAAGGTGAAGGGCTAGTAGTGTCAAGAACAGGTGCAGGTGTGTCAAAGTAAAAAGTGTCTGAAGTGGGTATTAAAGGATCGAGAATAAAAAGAGATGGAGATATGGTGCTAAGGTTTTGGTCATTGAGTGATGAGGGAAAATAGGGAAAATGATCCTCATAGAATATGACATTACGGGAAGTGGCAATGGTACGAGTATGTAAATCATAGGTAAGGTAACCTTTGGTATGAGAAGGGAAACCTAGAAAAAATACACGGATGGGCTCGAGGATCAAGTTTCTTGCGTTGGGAAGTAATGGTGGTGATATAACAAAGACATCCAAATACTTTGATCATGGCAATATCACATTGAACACCATGCAGTTTTTCAAAAGGGGAAGTATTTTTCAAAAAAGGTGTTGGTATGCAGTTGATAAGATAAGTGGCATGTAATAAAGCGAAACTCCAAAAACAATCGGGTAAGTTAGAATGAAATAAAAGAGCACGAGTGACATTGAGTAAGTGTTGATGTTTACGCTCAACAATGCCATTTTGTTGTGGGGTTTCAATGCAAGATGTTTGATGAATGATTCCTTTTAAATGAAAGAGTTCATGCATGAAAAATTCATTGCCATTGTCGGTACAGATGATTTTGACGTGTGTATCAAATTGATTCTCAACAAGATTGATGAAATTAGTGATATGTGTACGTGTTTCACTTTTATTACACATCAAATAAACCCAAGTGTAGCGTGTGTGATCATCAACAATGGTGAGAAAATAACGATGTCCATTCATGGAAAGCGTGGAATATGGTCCCCATATGTCCATGTGAATGAGTGCAAAAGGTTGTGTGGCATGTGAGTTGCTAAGAGGAAAAGGTAATTTTCGTTGTTTAGCATAGTGACAGGTATTGCAAACAAAATTTTTATTGTTGTTCAAACATGAATATTGTTGTTGCATAATATGCATACGTTCACTAGATAGGTGCCCAAGGCGAAAATGCCATAGATCAATAGGGATTACATTGCATTTGGGATGTATAATAGTGGAGTTTATACTATGAGGTTGAAGATGAACAGGTATAAGCTGGTATAATCCATCTCTCACATCAACTGAACCAATCGTCATACGTGTGTTCGCGTCCTGAATAAGACAATGGGTAGCAATGAATATTAGTTGATAAGGAGTGGAAGAAACAAGTTTAGAGATAGAGATCAAATTAAACGTAAAAGAAGGAATATAAAGAACATTTGTGAGTTGAAAAAGAGAAGAAAATTTGACAACACCAGAGTGCGTTGCTATTACCCGTTGTCCATTTGGGAGTTTAACAATAATGGGATCAATGGAATGAAAAGAATGAAAATATTCCAGAGAAGATGACACATGATCTATTGCCCCTGAATCAAGAATCCAAGGAATAATTTTATGTGTGTGTGAAGTGCAGATGAGAGAGCCAAATTTACATGATATAGGAGGTGAGTGTGTGGAACAAGAAGAGATAGAACTAATATGAGCTACATTCGATGCTGAATTCGCATTTGGTGGTTGCTAAATTAATGCTAGTAGAGCTTGATATTGCTGAGGGGAGAAGCGAATGTCCTGGACCTCATTAGCAGTAGATTGTTGTTCATTCTCTGAAACCTTTGTATCACTAGTCATAACAACAGTAGTGGGCATAGATTTCCCATTATGAAAGCAATGTCCAGGAGGAAACCCGTGTTTCCTATAACACACGTCTATGGTGTAACCGCCTTTACCACAATGAGTACAAGTTTTCCCTCGAGCATAAGGGTTTTTATTATTCTTGACCTCAGAAGGAAATCCGTGCTTGCGGAAGCATGTGTTCTCTGCATGACCAGTGCGACTACAAAAGTTGCAATTCAAACCTGCACTATTAACAAAAGTGCTACGCGTTTCCATATTGACAGCAACGACAAAGGTTTCATTCACGGATAACTGCCTTTCTTGTTGAGCAACATAAGAGAAAATTTTCGTAATGGGAGGTAAGGGATCCATTAAAAGAACATGAGAACGAATATTACCATATTGATCATTGAGACCTCTCAAAAACTGCATTGCTTGATCTTCCAATTTTCTTTGAGCAATAATAGATGCAACTTTGCAGGTGCATTTTGTGGTGCACGTACAGACCGGATCTGGACGAAAATTCTCCAACTCGTCCCATATAATAAGAAGTTTTGTAAAGTAGTCAGTCACTGATAGTTCACCCTGTTTGATAGAAGAAGCCTCTAGTTGCAAATTAGAAATTCTAAGAAGGTCACCTTGTGAATATCGAGCCTTAAGATCACGCCAAATTTCATCAGCTTTATCCATCTAGAGAATACTCTGACGGATTGAAGCAGAAACAGAATGTACAATCCATGAAATCACCATGTTATTACACCTTTTCCAAGCACCATATGTCTGATCGGTTGACGATGGTTGGGGAGCTCCTCCATCAATAAACTCTAGTTTGTTCTTGGCGCTTAATGCAGTCATCATAGATCTGCTCCACGAGTGATAATTTGTTGAATTAAGCGTAGGTGAAACAAGAGCAGTAGAAGGGTTTTCATTTGGATGCAAGTATAAGAAACTGTGAATGTCGGGTTCACGACTTGTTATCTCACCACTCATCTTTGTAGTGTCAAAGAATAGAAAAGTGGACGCGCAGCAGAACTCTTCGAAAAGAGCTCTGATACCATCACAAGAATGTAAAACTAAGAGAAAACGAAAAAGAAGAGAAAGTAACAATGTACTGCACTTGCTATTATTCAGAAAGATAAGCTAATATATACAAGGAAAAATTGAAAAAGAAATAACAGAAAGGAAAAAGAAAATAACAAATAAAGATGAAAAAGAAACGTAACAAAAATTATTGTTGCTAACGGAAATTATTGTTGAGATAATATGTGTAGTTCGTGTAAATCAATTTTTATAATAAATAGAAGTTTTCGAAAATAAACAATAAATAATCCAAAATTAGAAATAGCACTAAAAGTTATAGAGAGAAACATACTTCTAAGAGACTTTATTCACTATCATCTAGAGATTTGTTTATATTAAGATTAAGATGGATTAAAGTAATATATATATA